TGGCTTATTACACTAAAAGGAAGAAAGCACTCAAGAGGAATGTGAAGTTCTCAAAAATGCAAATCTGATCATCACAAATCACAAGTGGGGCTTCCTTGGAGACTTCAGTGTTTGAAGGGGAAGTGTTGAGATGGGCTGTAAACAAAGGAAAGAGAGAAGAGGAAGGGAAGCAGAGGAGGGTGTCATTTGCCTTGAAGAATAATGGCAGGGATGCTTAAATCCTAAGTATAATGAAGCCTGTGCTATTTCTTTTGGCTATGATGGTCTTATCAAAGAAATATATTTGGGGGAGTAAAATGATCAAGAAAGGGAGGGAGAAATGGCCCAAAACAATGTATGCACATATGAAGAAATAAATAAATAAATATAGAAAGAAAGAAAGAGATATGTTTGTAATAGGGATTCATGTGATAATGTTGATGGTGATTTGGTTGAATTATGTGCACCAAAAAAGATAGGTTAAAGTTCTAAGGCCCAGTTGCTCAGCTTGGACTTTATTTGGAAAAGAGTCATTGCATCCAAAATTAGTTAAGATAGGATTATACTGATCAGGGAAAATAAGGCATGGGAAACAGCAACCAGGAATTCAGACATAAATGCTATATTAATGAATGGCTTGGTTAAAAGCACATAGGCACTCTTTTCTTTGCCTGAAGCCTTACATCCCCTCAATAAGTTGCAACATGTAGTTTTTAAAAAAGGGAAAAAAGAGAAGTTATCTCCCTCTGACCTTGCTTGCTTGCCTAAATAATTAGTGTGCTCTGGGTATAAACAAGGATGTCTTACAGAAAGGCATTTACCCTGTGAAAAACCACTGTGTACTCTGGGCACCAAAAGTGTTTACAAAGGAAAATACTTATCACAAAGATGGACACCTGTCTTGAGGGGAGCATCTGGTAGGACCTGTCCTTTGTTTAAAGGGATGCTCAAACATCTATGTCATAATGACCCAAATTTAATAAGTAGGCCAACCCTGAAATCTTTGGGTCCAATTGCTAAAAAGCAGTGTAATGTCAAAAATGGTTAAATATACCACGTGTCAGAACAAAGGGAAGCACTTTTTCTAAGGTAATTCAAGCCAAACCCCTAACCTATTTTTTCCCATAAATACCACTGATGTTAGATCACTCATTGCACCTGTTATCAAATGGGCCCACACCCATGTCTGGATTGTGTACTATCTTTCTATCTTTTCTTTGTTTTGCTTTACCTATAAACTTCCTTGGTCTCTACCTCAATGTGTCCTAAAATTCTTTTTTGTGATAACATCACAAAGTAGGAGTCCAAGGGGTAGGTGGAGGCCTTGCCTCTTTAGGAGACCTTCTCCTTGGAACCTCGCTGTGGAGCCTCACTGATTCTGGTAACAATACTGCCAAGGAAAGAAAGACATAGAAAAGAGAATGCCACATGGAGACACAGACACACCAGAGGAGGAGGCATATGACGATGGAGGCAGAGATTAGAGGGATGCAGCTGGGAGACAAGGAATGCTGGGGATTGACACTTACAACCAAATGCTAGGAATTAACAAGGAAGGCTTCTGCCCAGACTCTCAAAAGCAGCATGGCCCCGCACCACCTTTGAGCCTCTGTCTTTCAGAACTCTGAGATGATACATTTCTGTAGTTTTAAACCACTTGCTAAGAGCCTATAGACAGGCTCCTGTTAATTTGTTGGCACCCTGTCTTGCCCACCCATCCACACAGCCATTCATAAGAGAGAACTTTATCAGTCTCACACAGGTTCTCCACAATTGCACTTGGGTAGACCAAGACTTCAAGGCTTATGTCATGTGTCAGTGTCAGGCTATGGCACCAGGGATACATCTGCTTATTATTTTGTATAACTTTTTCACATTGGCTTAGGCTGACATTTCCTTTGAGCATCAGGCTTGCTACTGAACTCTCCAATTCATGGGCTACCTGGATTGAATTTCCTGAAAAATTTTCAGTAGAGGAAGAAGACTCAACATGACCTTCACCAACTTCAGTTTTCTTGGCTGCTGTGATGCTCATTTGTCCAAGTCTTGACCAGGAATGCCTGTGAAATGCCAAATTAGAATGCATCAGTCTTCCTGCCATTGTGTTCCACATTTCCATACTTGAGTTGAACATGGTCTTTTTCCTCCCCCAATCATCAGTTTAGAAAAAGGCAAATCACAGTATCTCATTTCTTTCTTTGAGAGAGTTTTATATCTAGAAAAATCTAGACCTCATAAAATGTTGTCCAGAATTTCCCAGGTACTTAATGAATCCCTGGGGTAAACTGAAAACATAAGATATGAAAAAGGAAATATTCAATAGGCTAATATTTGCTGATTAGCCAAATACAAAACTGTCCAATGAATGGGGTAGGTCAACTCGGAAGGTAGATTCTATTTTCATGATATGGGATCTGTTAAGTGCCCAATTCTGGATACAATTCATTGTAATAATTAAAATGAAGGTATAGAGAGCATGTAGAGCAAAATTGTAAATAGGAATTGGAAAGATAGTAAATATTATCAGGGAAAAAGTATCAGAAAACTACCTTGTTAGCTCATACATCTGACCTTGGTTTTGGAAAAGTATGACTTCCAATCACACAGATTCCATTTATCTATTAATAACAGAGAGGAAAACAAACACTGCTACTTCTTGAAGGAGAGCAGAGAAGCTGGAAAAAGAGTCAACTGTATTGTTATGTCCAAGAATGAGGTGGAGGGGGAAGGGAAAGGCTTTAGTATTCAAGATGCAAAACAGGAAGATGGGCTGGCGAGAGGTCTCCTACAAATTTAACAGAAGACACATGAAACAAAGGAGGCTGAAGAAATTCACCCCCTGAAGGATTGTGATGTTATTATTAGAGTATAAGATAAATTTAACCAAACAGTTAGGGTGCCAATGATCATATTACCTATTTTGCAAAGAAAAGATTTAGTGGCTTAAAAAACCATGTTTCTTATCTCCCAATGCCTGTGGGACTGGAATTTGAGCATGGCTTAGCTGAGTCCTCTGGCTTAGGGTCTCTCACAAGGTGTTGACTAGGGCTGTAGTCTTGTTAAAGTTCACTTCCATGATTATTAGCATAATTCAGTTGTGCAGGGGTTGTTGGACTAAGGACCTCAGTTCCTTGCTGGCTGGTGGGTGAACACCTTCCTCAATTTCTTGCTAGTTTGGCCTCTCCATAGGGCAGCTTACCACATGCTTGCTCAGAGCAAGCAAGTGAGGAAGAGCGAACAAGGACTACAGAAGTCAAAATCTTTTTGATGTTCCGTCCCTTTTGCCCATCCTCATGAGGAGGGATGTACCCAAGGGTGCTGACACCAGGAGACGAGGTCATCGGAGGCCATTTCAGAGCCTACTACATGGAGCATAACCAAGATCATACTTTGTCAAAAGCAGAAATGCTTTTGCTTCTCTACTAGGGAGAATGTACATGGTTCTGACCTCACTTGCTTGTGCTGAATGCTATGTTAAAAAAAAAAATAGGTCTTTAAAATTTGGTAGGGTTATCTATGAAAAGGATATGGTGAAGAAAGTTAGCAGTTTGAAAAAGAAAAATCAAAGAGGACTTAAGAGAAAAATGAAAAAACAAAAACCAAACACTATTATATAAGGAAGGTATGTGCTCATAAACCAGAATATCTATTTAAGCATTAAAATGATCTCAAAAGATCCTGGGCCAGACAAATAGAGTAGTTAACATAATAATCTGTGCTTAAAGACAACATAAAGTCCTTAGATATTGGATTGTCTTCACCCATCAAAAAATACTTTTCATAGGGACAAAGTAGTACCTAATACTAGAATGTGCCATTTAGAGAACTATCTAGAGCCAACTGGCAAAGTCTCCTTTGTATTTAAGATGGGCAAACTATATTTTCAAGAAAGAATCAAAAAAGGAAGAAAAATCACAACGTTGGGGGAAATTGTCCTCAGAGTAGGCCAGTTCTGATCTAAGTAGGCCAGGTGATCTGTCCCCTCCCCTAACCCTCCCCTCCATCTCTCAGTCCTCTTTCCAGGACCAGCCATCTTCCAGCCAATCACTGAAACACCAGCTCCTCTCTAAATCTCATTTCACCCTCATGGTGCTCAAATGGCAGTTACGCAGAAAGAACTTCCCCGACCAACACTGGGAATAGCATCGATCCGTCTCATCCTCTTATCATGCATTTGTTTTTCTATCGCAACTAACTCGTTCCAAAATAACCATTTATTTTATCTGTTTATCGCCTGACTCCTCCACTGGGATTAAAGTTCTGTGACTTGAAAAACTTCAGCTCACTACCCCAAGCCCTGGAAAAGTAAGTCATTGGCTTTTATCAGTAATGTCTGTTCAGTAAATGAAAGAAAAAACAGAATTAAATGAAGTTCATTATAACCTACCAAGAACAATTATAAACAGAAAATGGGTGGAAAATGTAAAGAATTGTGCAAGGGGAGTATTTATACTTGTGTATACAAATAATTCATTTTTAAAAATCCCGAGATACTCGAATGAATAAGCTACTTGAAAATACTTTGGTCGGCACTGAAGCCTGCCCCGTTTCTCTTAGCAAACTGTGCGGCACAGAACTTCTCTCTGCCTTTCTCTGGGCGCTAGTTCAAGTGAATTCTCCGGGAATGGACTACGCTCGCCCTCCCTCGTTTATAAAATGTATTCTTGTCCCTATTTGATTGGCTATCATTTCCAGATTCCTCTAGATTATTGGTCTATGTTCCCGTCCATCACTTCCATACCCAAGCACTCTATTGGTCCGCTGTAGCTGACGGCCGGCAGCTGGCCGCTCTGAGGCAGGAGGAGTTCCCAGATGACGTCAAAGACGCTTCCAGCCCACATTCCGAAGTTTGGGCGGAGACTTCCCCCGGCTCTGCTTTTGTAGGCGGGGCAGGGCGGAGTATAAGACTTATGATTGGTTCTTGAGGGCGAAGGGGGTATCCGATTGGTCAATGCCTGTCAGAGAGGTGGGGTCGCAGCTGGGTCCTGGAGAAGAGCTGAAGAGCCCTGGCGAGTCTCAAAGTTTGTGTCTGGAGCCGTAGTGGGAAGCGGAGACTTATTGCGAAGGGATTTTCTTGGGATGTGAGCTGATTTCGTGCCTTCATTTTGGATGCACACTTCGCTTTAACCCCTGCAGCCTTCGGACCGAGCCCCGCACGCCTTGTGTCCCCCGGAGATTCTCAGATCTCGGAGGACCCGGGACGCGAGCCCTTGGCGGTTGTCGCTCAGGCAGGGGAGCGAACGTCGCCTGCCCAAGTGCAGAAGCAAGCTACACGCGCACGCGCGCGCACGCGCACGCACACGCACACGCGGAGAGCGGCGTCTCGCCACCCGGGTGGCCCGCGGCCCCCTCCTGCGCTCGGCATCCTCGGCCCTGCGCGGCTCGCACCGCCATGGAGGTGCTGGAGAGCGGGGAGCAGAGCGTCCTGCAGTGGGACCGCAAGCTGAGCGAGCTGTCAGAGCCCGGGGACACCGAGGCCCTCATGTACCATACGGTGAGGCGCCGGCGGGGCAGGGTGGCTTTTCAAGGGGAGGTGTGGTCATCGGAACAGCTGGAGACTGGGGACCCGGCCAGGGCATGGCCACAGGCAAGAGGTCGCGGTGCGGGGGGCCGCGGCGCTTTCAGGCTTTCTTGGGGAAGTGACACTTCGTCTGCCCTTAGGTAGTCACACTGTTCTCCGGGCAGCCTTCTCCCGGCTGCAGTACCGCTTCCTGTCTGCTAACGGGACTGGAGAGTGGGAGAAGGGGATGCGCTTTGGAAATGGTGCCTTCACCTAGGTTGCTCTGGATTTTTGTGGGAAGAGTTTTTGCTTTCTAAACTGGACAAGCTAAAGTAGCATTTTCTTTCCATCTGTTTCATATCCTCCTTCTCCCTCTCTCCCTTCACTTTCTTATTTGTATTTTAAGCGGTACGCCTCTGCCTGGGTATGTTGAAAACCTCCTCCACGTTAGGAGGAAGGCCCCCTTATTTGGCTTCGTAAACTGGCCAGCCAAGAAGTCTGCTTCCTCCCTCTTCAGAGGAAACGCCGGGAAAGTGGAAAATCCGAGGCAGCTGCACATTTCAGACAGACCTTGTGGGAAGGTGAGACAGCTCGCCAGCTCCTTATTCGGCTGTGCCCAGAGACCTCCTTGGAGATTCAGCTGTCACAGAGCGTGTCACAGAGCGTATCACAGAACTTCTTTTAAAGTTCTCACTTTCAACTTTATTGATATTAAATCTGTGAAAGGAAATTTTGTCTCTGATAGCCAGCACTAATGTTGTTTCAGATCTCAGAGAGAGAAAGAGAGAGAAGAAAGGGGGAGGCCTGGCTGTTTTCCCTTCACGGTTGGTTCTTTTAATGGGGTCAGTACCAGGATATTTGAAACTTTTGCAAAATGGCCTGCAGGCTCCACCTCTTTGGCCTTTGCTGTGGGCTGACTTTATTTTGGGAAAAGGAATGGGGCCTCCTGGCTGATTCCCACTAAAGCATTTGTAGTGGCTGGGAAGAGTTTTTTGTGTTTGTTTTTTTTTAAAAATACTGTGTGCAGGGCTGAGAGGGAGTGACAGTTCATGCTGGGGCAAAAGCCAGATGTTCAGTGTGATTGTCTGAGCTTTGCTCACTGAGTCTGCCCCAAGGAGACCATGTGGGCTGCATTTGGATGGAGTGTCCAGATGTGCTTCCTGTCCTCTGGAAAGAACCTGGAGCACATTGGCTCACAAATATCTTCTGATTATTGCGTCCTCCAGATGTTTTTACCGACTAGAGTTATGTCTTAACCGTGTGTGGAGGGCAGCTCTTCTCTTTTGTTCTTCAACATACGGTTCTTTTACTGTGAAAATACCTCATTTAGCAGCTGCAATGCCATAGTTTTGGGGCCGTCTTTCAGCTGATGAGATGAATTACAGCACCCACATTGCTATTCCCAGACCCTGTGGCTTACATTGTGACTCACAGGCTGGAGTTTGGGATGCACCCCTTACTGGCTTTAACTCCAGGACAAAAGAGCTTGGACTACCTCAAACTAACATCTGTACGCACAGTTTCAGAGATAGAGACTTTGCATTCTTTTTGATATCAACAGCTCTGGTTTTCTGTGTCATTGTGGTAAAGCAGTAATATGGAATTATTTTTCTTCAAATCTTTTTTTTTTCTTTTTAAAATGACTATTATGAGACACTGGACAAGTGTCTCACTTCTGAACTGCTCACTCATAAAATTCTTCCCATCATTGTTGCAAATCATTGCAGTAAATTGTGTATATATGAATTAGGGTTGAAAGAAGCATTGGGCTTAGTAGCCCAGATCATTAATTGGATGATATTCCTTTGACTTAAGGGGAGTTTGGTAGAGATCTGAAAATAGATAACTTTCCCATCTGTTTCTTAAACTCTGTGGTGTGTTCAGGTGCAGAGTTGGTTGTTATTACCATTTGCCCATGATGTAGACTAGCCCGACTTCCAACTGAATCGCCATGTGGAAAGACAGTGGCTTGATCCATTATGTACTTACTGAAAGATAATTTTCTTTCAATCAATACAGACTATCTTTCATGTACCAAACACTATTCTAAGCACATGGGATGATCAGTCAACAAAAGCAAACAAAATTCCTGACCTAGAGAAGCTTACATTCCTGTGTGTGTGTGTGTGTGTGTGTGTGTGTGTTTGTTTGTGTGCCTGTGTTGTGTACGTGTATGAGTAGGGAAAAAGTAAACAATAAATGATACATGTAATAGAAAAATAAGCAAAATAATATGTTATACACTGTAAGTGCTATGGAAGAAAGTAAAGTAGAACAGAGTAATGGGGACAGAGAATTCAGGATAGATGAACCGACTTTCAGAGCCAGCCTTCCGAACAGATTTGAAGGAGCTGAGTGTTAGCTCAGCAGGATTAAAAGCCAGGGCAAAGGCTGGAAGGTGGGAACACACTGATATGAGCCTATGGTGGGTAGGTAACAACTTCTTTTGGTTCCCCTGTTTTGTTGAGTCATTTCCCTTGTAAATATGGGTTATTTCCAGTACACCAGTGTCTGTCTGTTTTTGGAACATCCCAGTAAAACTTTCCAAGTTGAGTATTGGAAAGGAGAACCTGGGGGTAGGGGCAGATTGTAAATTGGGAAAGTGGTAAGACTTATGATAGCTACAGTCTGTAGAGTATTTGTTACTCTAACAGAGGGCCTTCTGTATGCACTTGCCCCCTGTGCAGCCTGCAGGGTCCCACCCCTGGTTGGATGTTCAACTGTCACCATCTTAAAATTCTTGATAATTTTTGGACGGGGCCCCACCTTTTCACTTTGTGTTGGTTCCCACAAATTATGTTGCTGGTCCTGCTGAAAGACATATGTTTAGTCCATATGTCATTTATCCCTCTGAATGAACCCAATGAGGGAGCCATGTTTTATTATTCTCATTCTACATATAAGAAATCCAGGGCTTAATGCATTTGAGCAGCTTGGCTCAGACCTCACTGCTAAATAGTGCCACAACCAGGATTCAAACCTAGGTATACCTGCCTCCAAAGCCCGAGTTCTTGCCCATTGTACTGTAGACTTGAAGAACCCTGACTTTAAGAGAAGTAACTGAGTAAGTAGTTTGGAGATAATGAGCAACTGATAATTAACTGGGGCAGACCATGGCAGCCACCAAGCCTTTTTAGGGAGATCACTCTCATTGTTCCAAATAAGGATTCAGTTACCGCATGCATGATTGCTAATACTCTGTTTTAGCAAACCTGTCGTATACCTGGCTTCAAAAATAGAGAATGTTCAAGTTGCCTAGGGCTGGGATTATGTTTCTCAGATGCCTTCTGTGAGCCATCAGAAGCAACATTTTTCTCATTTGGTTAGACTTCTTGGTCCAGACAAAGGCTTAGAAGAGACAGACTTAAAGTTGACAAAATACCCAAGGATAGGGCAAATATGGACTTGCTTACTAGATCCTGATTTACTAAAACTATGAGCTTCCTCTTGAAGCTTCAAAAAGTTTTCAGGGCTAATGGTATAGCTCACTGGCTTCCATCACTAACACCAAAAAAAAAAAAAGTGTTCATTCAGATGATAGAATGTTATTTTAATTCATTGTTCTGGAAATTCTGTATGGGCTTTTGCAATTTAAAAAGCAGAATAACCTGTAATTTCACCTTGATATATTAATAGGCCATACTATGTCTGGAGCACTGCTCAAGATTGTTTCTGGTAAGGAGATTTGGGGGCCCCGGGCTCAAGAGAAGGGAGGGAAGCTCATCTACACACTTTTCCACTTGGTACTGTCAGATTTGTACCTTCTAGATGTGTTTGGATAATGAAGAATTACAACTTAAAGGCATTATCTAAAACTGGAGTAGCAGTTATTTTTATCTGAGTATCCTTGGTAGCAAAGGGGGCGTCTATGCTATATTAAAACTCAGCATCACCCAAGTGCTGCAGGTCTTGGATGTGTTGGGACCTGGGGGAGCAGCAGTGTGGGGTGGAAAGAGGTTCTAGGGCTGGAGGTCCCCAATGGATTTGTGTGTGATAAACTTTGCAGTCCTGGTCACTTCCTCTTTCCTATATCCATCTGGAAAATACAGATTTTTATCAATTTTTGCAATGATTGTGTCCTTTTTAAAAAAATATATAATAGAAAAATAGTCTTTACAAAGATGGCAACTGAAGCTCTGCTTCTCTTTTATTCATATTAAGCCATTTTATTTTCCTTTTTTATTATTGTTGTGCTGGGTGGGGGGTACATTGTGGCATTTACAGAAGTTCTTACAATATATCAAATACATCATACTTGAATGCATCCCCTCCACAGTTCTCCTTCATATCCCCCCTCCCAATTCCTAGAATAGTTTCTACAGGTATCATTTTTCCATTTACATGCATGTGTACACAGTATTTGCACCATATTCACCCTCATTCACCATTTACTCTGCTTCTTTTAAATGTGCAATACATATAAAGTCAGTTATTTATAAAATTATTTGGTGGTGGTTGTGCTACTCAAATTTTTTATCTGGTAAGTTCTTAAAGTGAAATGGCTGAACCCAGACAGTGGTAGACAGGGAGTTCAGGGAACATTGTACCTGCTGATGTCTGGATAGGAAGCATCTTGCACTGATTGCTGAGAAGGAGCTGGCTGATCTCATAGGCTGAGTGGTTTCCTCTTCCTCTGGGCGGGCCCAGAGACTGATAGAGTCCCAGTGGGATATTGAAGCTTTTGGTTAGATGTTTCCACTTTGGGTCATCGCTACTGATGGCTCCTGGCCAGGTACTAAAGGGGGGCTTTGTTCCTCATTGACTGAGAATGTCATTGCTTATGGTCACCTGACCTCCTCTAACTGAAAAGCATAGCATTCTAGCAGGACACAAAATTGTGAAGTAGGTATAATTTGTCTTCAAGGCCCTTGTTTAACCTTTTTACACCCTTTTGTGTTTCCCTCCCTTCTCAGACCCCAAGTGCTCACTGTGATACTTTCTTTCCAACTCCCTGTCTTCAAATTTTGCACTTAAGAAATATTTGATAAGCTTAC